CATATGATGGTAAGTATATAAGCTGATAAGTATAATACTAAATGGTAAATATAACATATGATGGTAAGTATATAAGATGGTAGGTATAATATATGTAGGTAAGTATAAAAGATGGTAAGTATAATACAAGATGGTAAATATAATATATGATGGTAGTATACTAGATGGTAAGTATAATATATGTTGGTAAGTATATAAGATGGTAGGTATAATATATGTAGGTAAGTATAAAAGATGGTAAGTATAATACAAGATGGTAAATATAATATATGATGGTAGTATACTAGATGGTAAGTATAATATATGTTGGTAAGTATATAACATGGTAAGTATAATATATGATGGTATGTATATAAGCTGATAAGTATAATACTAAATGGTAAATATAACATATGATGGTAAGTATACTAGATGGTAGGTATAATATATGTTGGTAAGTATACAAGATGGTAGGTATAATATATGTAGGTAAGTATAAAAGATGGTAAGTATAATACAAGATGGTAAATATAATATATGATGGTAGTATACTAGATGGTAAGTATAATATATGTTGGTAAGTATATAAGATGGTTGGTATAATAGATATTGGTAAGTATATAACATGGTAAATATAATACTAGATGGTAAATATAATATATGTTGGTAAGTATACTAGATGGTAAGTATAATATATGATGGTAAGTATACTAGATGGTAAGTATAATATATGATAAATATATTAAATGTTGGTAAGTATACTAGATTGTAAGTATAATACTAGATGGTAAATATAATATAAGATGGTAAGTATACTAGATGGTAGGTATAATATATGATGGTAAGTATACTAGATGATAAATATATTAAATGTAGGTAAGTATAATATATGTTGGTAAGTATACTAGATTGTAAGTATAATACTAGATGGTAAATATAATATATGATAGCAAGTATACTAGATGGTAAGTATACTAGATGATATATATATTAAATGTAGGTAAGTATGATATATGTCGGTAAGTATACTAGATGGTAAATATAATATATGATGGTAAGTATAATATATGTCGGTAAGTATACTAGATGGTAAATATAATATATGATGATAAGTATAACATATGTCGGTAAGTATACTAGATGGTAAGTATAATATATGGAAGTAAGTATAATATATGACGGTAAGTGTACTAGATGGTAAATATAATATGTGTCGGTAAGTATACTAGATTGTAAGTATAATACTAGATGATAAGTATAATATATGACGGTAAGTATACTAGATGGTAAGTATAATATATATGATGGTAACTATACTAGATGGTAAGTATAATATATGATGGTAAGTATACTAGATGGTAAGTATAATGTATGACGGTAAGTATACTAGATGGTAAGTATAATGTATGATGGTAAGTTTACTACTAGATAGTAAGTGTACATGATGGTAAGTATAATATATGATGGTAAGTATAATGTATGATGGTAAGTTTACTACTAGATAGTAAGTGTACATGATGGTAAGTATAATATATGATGGTAAGTTTAATACTAGATGGTAAGTATACTAGATGGTAAGTATATAAGATGGTAAGTATAATATATGATGGCAAGTATACTAGATGATAAGTATAATATATGATGGCAAGTATACTAGATGGTAAGTATAATATATGATGGTAGGTATACTAGATGATATATATATTAAATGTAGGTAAATATAATATATGTCGGTAAGTATACTAGATGGTAAGTATAATATATGTCGGTAAGTATACTAGATGGTAAGTATAATATATGTCGGTAAGTATACTAGATGGTAAGTATAATATATGTCGGTAAGTCTACTAGATGGTAAATATAATATATGATGGTAAGTATAATATATGGCAGTAAGTATAATATATGACGGTAAGTGTACTAGATGGTAAATATAATATATGTCGGTAAGTATACTAGATTGTAAGTATAATACTAGATGATAAGTATAATATATGATGGTAAGTATAATGTATGATGGTAAGTATACTAGATGGTAAGTATAATATATGACGGTAAGTATACTAGATGGTAAGTATAATATATATGATGGTAACTATACTAGATGGTAAGTATAATATATGATGGTAAGTATAATGTATGATGGTAAGTTTAATACCAGATAGTAAGTGTACATGATGGTAAGTATAATATATGATGGTAAGTTTAATACTAGATGGTAAGTATACTAGATGTTGGTAAATATAATATAATTGTGTTTTATTGACGTAGACTGGTATCTATTTGACTTATATAGGAAACCAATATAGTATGAAAAGTTATTTGATTTAGTAAAACAACTTATTTAGTTGTGAAAACAGTAGATAACTTTATATATATATATATAATCATTTCAGTTGAAATAGATTACCAGTCGTTAAAACTCTGGGTAGTTGTTGTTGCTGCTACTTTCTTAGTGTAACACTACATAATGGCTGTCTGTACTCTGTCCACTGTGGGAGATCGATTCTGAGGGAAGAAATGTTTCATGGATATATCTATATATAACGAAACAATCGACGTGTAACGACAGACAAAGACGATGTACGTGCTACTGTTTGAAAGACTATAACCACAATTATATTCTATCTAAAAAATGCTAACAATGTCGTAATAATGTTTAGTATACAGTCTAGACATCATACTCTCATTAACACACATGTAATAAAGAGGCCTGGTAATTACTGCCCAATTTGGAATTCTATGGTAATTTATTTGTAAAAATAGCAAGCTTCTCCCTCAAAATTCAAATCACTTTCGAACATTCGCTAATTGCGAAGGTCTTTCGGTAAACCAACTTCAAAATATACCCAACTATATTTCCGTTGATATTAAAATTACCTTATTGACAAATGTTTAATTACGAGATATTTAATTAATATTATTATTTTGTCATCTCACAATCTGAGGGTCGCGAGTTCGAATCTCGTCACCGAACATGACCCCCTTTCAACCGTGAGGCGTTATAATTAGTCGGTCAATCCCACTTTTCGATGGTAAAAGAGTAGCTCAAGATTGGCGGTGGGTAATGCTGACTAGTTACCTTCCCTCTATTCTATCACTTCTGAATTAGGGACGGCTAGTGCAAATAACCCTCGAGTTGCTTTGCGCTATTTTCCAAAAACAAACAAACAAATAATTCTCATTTTACATGCTTCTAAAATAATAAATTCATTACAATAATACTCGTCCAGAAAGAAATGTTCACATCATAACTTTATTCACCAGTATATATGTCTGTGTTTCATTATTTTGAAGGAGATACGTTTATACACGTCTAAAATATGCTTACATTTCTAATTTACAAAATATATGATTTCAAACATTAATCATATTTTATCACTTCATTTATTAAGTTACCAGTAGATGGCAGAGAGTTCGTATTTTCCAGCTGTTACCTAACTTGTTTCACTCACTGCTTTTGTTAACAATGCTGGTTAGAGTTCTATCCTTGAAGGCTGTATTGCAACTGTCAGCCAGCCACTGATGTAGTAGAGCAAAGTCCGTCTTAAAGTTTGATGGTTTAGAAAGCTAAGAACTTGTGGAAAGAAATCACATAGAGGTATCAGAAAGTATTTATTAGCTTTATGCGAAAGTCAGTGATAAATTTTAACAAACAACCAGGATTATGTTACTCACCGACCAAAGGTCTTCATTAATAACCGTGGCTGTTGCATTGGAAATTGTAGCGTTTGTTATTGGTAACAAATCCTTCCTCGACAATGAACAAGGTAGGATAAAAACAAGCTGTTTTTTCAAAAACTGCCAACTTTGAGTATAGATATTTATTCCGACAAAGACTACCAACGTTGAGTATAGATATTTATTCCTACAAAGACTACCAGCTTTGAGTACAGATATTTATTCCTACAAAGACTACCAACTTTGAGTATAGATATTTATTCCTACAAAAACTGCCAACTTTGAATATAGATATTTATTCCTACAAAGACG